GAATGATGATGGCAACAAATGTACAAATGTGCTTGACACAATGGATGTATGGATGTATGGATTGTGATAAGAATTGTATGAGCCCCCCATAAAACTTTTTTTTAAATGTGCTGAAAAACTTGGCATATACTCGAGTATACATGGTAATTCACGATACTAAGCAACAGTACATTTCAGTGAGCATTTTATGGGCAGAAACCATGTTTTTTATTTTTTATTCCCCAGGTCCCTTCTCATAGTAGTTACTAAGTCTAAATAACCACGTCTTCTTAAGTTGATTGGCTTCAAGATTGGCTACAAGATTATTCCCTCTGGCTTTAGGATATCGGGGACACAAAAGACAAATGATACTGGGAAAAAGAAACACACATAAATGCCTAATTTTAAATAGAAGCCTTATCTCAAAAGAATCAACTTCCACCTTAGACTACCTGAATAATCCCGTTGAACAAAAATTTCTTTAAATTATGAGGCAAATGCCTGTCGGATGGTAATGGAAATAGAATGAGGAGCATTAGAGGTAGGGATTGAGGGATTATAAATTTAAGTAGGAAGGCTAGGTGAGGCATCTCACTTAAAAAGGCAACTAAACAAAATCTAGAGGGAACGGTCGTTCCTGGCCGAGAACATGGGTTAGTGCTCTGAGGTGGGAGCGTGCCTGGCAGGTTCAAAGAGCAGCGAGGAGACCAGAAGTAATGAGCACAAGATGTTGTAGGTCCTTCAGGACTGTGGCACTGACTCCATGAAATAAGGAGTCATGGGAAAGTTTGACGTGAAGCATGTTGACTTGATTAACGTTAAAGGATTACTCCTGACGATTTAGTCAGGAGTATTGTTTGAGGAGCAGGAATGTAAATTGGAAAAGTGATTGGGAGAGAAACTAGTGGTACACCACTAAAGGTGGTTAGAAATAACCCCTCTCCCCCATTCAAGCTTAGAAGTTTGAGAGAGCAAAAGTAATTATTACAACAAAACTCTGGAGAAGGTGGCTGCAGAGCTGAGGCCTGGTTGGCTACAGGCCTCTCCCTACAGGGGCAGAAAAGCACAAGATATACTCGAGGCTAGCAGGCCGATCTACAGAGAAGGAACCAGAAAGAGTCTGAGCCCCGGGTGCCTTGTCCAAAGATGCTCTCAGAAAACCAGTCCTCCTCCCATGGGTGGAGAGACCAGGCGCACTGCTAACAGAAGCCCACCACATGGAAACATGGGGAAGAAGGGAGTAAAGAGTCTTTCTCCTAACACCACCTTGTAGCTATATTCCCATGCTCAAATGGTCTCTCGCCCTATCTGTCAGCCTCATGAAAGTTCCAGTACAACAGAGAAGATTGTGTAACACATTTTCCACTTTCCCAGTTAGAACAAACTCTACACATCACACACACACACCAATTTACTGGTGAATAACTACACCATTTTAGAATAGATTTTTTAAAACTTTATCATGTAAGAACAAAGTGAAGAAAAAAAAGAACAAAGTGTTTACAGCAGTTGGTATTTATCAACGGGGCTGATGTTGCTGGATTCACTAACATCGTATAAACCACATAGAAAATAAGTAAAAGAACTGAAATGGTACGGTTAGGAAGTGGGTCGTAATTTAATCAGTTACCGTGAATTTAAGTGAAAACCAATTAAAATGGAAACTGCATTGCAATTTTGGAACTGTAATGAAGCAAATGGCTTTTATCATGGAACAGACACAAATATCAATAAAACATTAAAAATCCCTATTCTAATTAGATCTCAAAGCAACTGTTTTACAGATGGAACTCAGAGAAATGACTGAAAGAAACACAATTAGTAACCCCATAGCTGAATAAAAACCCTAATTTCTGACTGACAGAGTTAGCTGACAATTGTGTAGTAATTTGAAAACAGCTCTTCTCCTTGCTTGATGTCCCTGAGTGCAACAAGAATGACACATCGAAGTGGGCTTTGTTTGTCGTAACTGTAGGCAATGTTTGGAAGATAC